TGGAGGCGGAAAGTTCCGCGCTCGGTTCCCGGTGTTTCCGCCAGCACCGGTTCCTCGTAATTAATTCTCCGTCTCTCCATCCTCTCGCCGCGTTAAATTGCCCGGGTGACGTCGATACCGGATTTGCTGCCGTTATCCCGGTGGAAGCGGGGCTGTCCTGTCCCCGGGAGCAGGGAAACGGCAGCGGCAGCGGGCTCCGCGGGGGGGCGGGAAATGTCGAGCCCCCCACGGCTGCGAGGGGCTCTGTGGGTTCATCACCACATCAAGAAGTTTCCCTAAAATCACATTTAAAGGGAAAATGAATAAGAGATGACGTCGGCTCCTTCCCCGGCACCGGGACGTAAATAACGGCAGCGAAACCAGGCTGGAAATCGCAGAATTTGGCATCTTCTGGGGTGTTCTCCTCACCCCGGTTGGCGCCGTGGAATCCCAGGCGAGGTGGAGGCTTTGAGAGCGCTTCTATAAAAACAACAAAATGGGTTTTTGGCCTTTTTGTTTTGGTTATTCCGCTGTGGCAGTAAAACCCCACTGGGGTTTTATGGGTTGTTTTTTTTTTGGGGGGGGTCTGTGCCTGGAGTTTTGCCGGGTTTGGGTCCGTGTGGCGCTGTCAGCAGCTTTCGCCGCGTTTGGGTCCGTGTGGCGCTGTCAGCAGCGGCGGTACCTGGATTCCAAGTGGTTGAGTGGATTTATACCAATATTAGGCAAAAACGTGCATTGTAAGTAAGTCACAAATTTGGTTTGAAGTCGACACGTGTGGGACTGTTGCTTTTTCCCCAAAACTTGTGGTTTTCTTTTCCTACCTAACCCTGGATTTCAGAAATAACCGCCCGCAGCGCCGGTACAGATTCCGGAGGCGCAAATTTGCCCGGATGCTGTGTAAGAGCTGCGGTTTCCTCTCACGAATCTCCCATTTGAGAGAATTTTGAGCAGAATAAATTTCCCAGGAGCTTTAGTTACAAATAAAAGTGGAGGGTCAGGCTTTGAGAAGTGGCTCGGCCGTTGTTTAAATGAATTTACTTGAGTATCGCCTCAGAAATGCTGTCGAAGTTCACCTGGAGTAGAGCAGGCTTTGAAGGCCGTGCAGTTTTAAAGCGCTTTTGGTGTATTTCGATGCACAGAATAAGCTTTTGTCTTCTGGATGAGAAGTTTGTTGGGTTTATTTACTCGAAAGAGAAAGTAAAACTCAATCAGGGACGTGGAGGGGGATCCCGGATGTCTCACACCTCCGTAAGGTGGCTTTATTCATTGGGAATTACTTCTTTGGCATCAAAAACTCTCGTCGATGTGTTTCGTCCTGATTATTTTAATGCCCAAAGGGTTCTTTCCGTGATCCCTGTTGAAAAACTTGGCTGGAAGTTTCCCCGAAAGGCGATGGATGTGCCAAGGAGGAGTTTGCCGCCGCTATTAAAGGCGTTAGGTTATCACCTCTTCTTCACGAGAGCCAGCGGCCGTGTTAATGATGCAATTATCTCCGGGTCTAAAACCTCCACGCCACTTTTTCCGTGAACTGTACGGTCCAAATTGCTTGGAATTCATTTTCTCTCCCCTTCTCCCCCCCGTTTTTTCCCTCATCAGGCAAGGACAATAGACGGCACTGGGCTGGCTTCCCAGCTGCCTTTGTTCTCAGGCCGTTTGTCTTGGGGTTGATATTATCAACCATCTCCAGGCCTGAACGGGTTTTCTACCTCTTCTGGCTGAGGAAAGCTGGCAGTCGAGCTCAGCTTCTGGGATTTTTGTTAAAAACTTGGCGTTTCTGGCAGCGCAGGAGCTGGAAAGGTTCAGTGGGGGAAGCCACGCACCTGGATTTGCGCTGTTCGGTGACTGGCGTGCGAGAAGGAAGGCCAATCTGTATTTCTATTTAAAAAACTCCATTGAATCCTAGCTATGAAGGTGATTTAAATATCATTTCCGAATGACAAGAAGCAAAAGGGACTTTCTTTGAGGCGTACGTTGCACCTAGATGCTTCTTTCCACTGACTTCAGCAGAAGTTGGGCACAGAAGTGCCCCATGTTGCCGATTTTCGGGGCCAGTTTGGTAAAAACACCACCTGAAAAAACTCAGCTCCTGGTGCTCCCCACACTTTGAGTGTGTTTTCAGCTCAGCAAAAGATATAATTCTCTGTTTTGGTTAGACTTTAAGGTGGATTCTGTATTAACAGGGTCTCTTCCTGGTGAGAAGGAAGAGGGGAAAGCAACAACCACCGGAAGAGCTTCCAAAAGACAAAATCAGGACTATTCAGAGTCTTTACGCTCTAAACCCACTGTTTTTCCCCTAATTTTTTTGGATAGATTTCGTTGTTGGCTTTTCTAGAAACACGCTAATTTAAGGAGGAGCCTATCCCCACGTATAAAATCCGCTTTTGGTAGAACCGAAGGTGCTTACAGTTCCTACGAGCGTCGCCGAGTTTTGAGTTTTAAGGCCTGCGTATTTTTACGGCAGTTTTGCTCCTAGCGATGGCAAAAACGGCACTGAAATGAAATCTATAACCAGAACTTGCACGTTTCTGTCTTAATTTTAAATGCTAACCTGCTGTTAGTGAAGCGCGCTCTGGTTCTCCGTAGGCCTCGGCGTCTTTCGCTGCCTTTCCTGTTGGATTTCACGCGTTTCTTCCTTTTTTTTCCGTTCCAGAAAACACGCCTTGAACTGCCACAGAATGAAGCCCGCTCTGTTCAGCGTCCTGTGTGAGATCAAGGAGAAAACAGGTGCGTTGGTGGCTTTTTCTGGCCTCGGCTTCCCCCCCAAAAAAAAAACCCCTCCCCGATTCAATCATCAGCTCTGCTCTCATTTAACGTGACCCCTGTTTGCCCTGATTCTACAACTTAACGCTATTTTTTGTTGGCTTAACGCTCTTCTGTAAGCTGGAAATGGGTTTGTTGGTGCTTTTTCTGATGCTGTCTGCGTGCAGGTTGGGAGAAAACAGTGCTGCTTATTTTGGGGGTGTGTATAATCGATAGGGTTGGGTTTTGGGATGTCTGCGTAGACATCACGAGTGATCCTGCTATGTTGTTACGCTCTTTTTATTTTGAATTTAAGGAACTGGTGGTGGTAAGAGTTCAAAGTTGATAAATAACGACGTTACGGAGAAAAAGAGCCAGGCACAAGGCTTGGGGGGAAGTGGGAAACGCAGAAGTGGCAGGAAATGGAGTTGGCGATTGCGCGGCTTTCTCTGAGGAGCAGCAGCACTGGGGGGCAAGGGGATTTTCATTTCCAGTTGCCCAGTCCATGCCCAGACGCGAACACTTTAAGCAGCGTCGTTTGAATGTCTGATTTCTACAAACTGCACTGAATTTCGATGTCTTTTTGAGAAGAACTACTTCATACATATAGAAAATCACCTCCATTTTCGTTAGTTTTGAAAGTTGTATTAACAGTTACCATCCCAAACCTACATTTGTAGGATTTTTCCGAAAAGCCCATCGAATAAATCTTGCGGTGCCAAGCGAGGGACCGCGTAGCCCCGTCCTCTGCGGTGCCCTGGCGCCGAAGGCGGCTCTGAGGCTGACGTGACACGTTGGTTTCTGCAGAGTTTGGTTGCCTTTATTGCGTTTTCATGAGAGTGGTTTGCTTCGGGAGCAAAAAGTGTGGGTTTCCGTCTGTCTGTCCTTCCAGGGTTGCCGTCCTTAAAGAGAGTCTTTAATCTGTGTTTTATTGATGGAAACTGTGACTCCTCAGAGCTAAATACACTCGCAGAACAGGCTCCGGTATCGCGGTGATGCTGGATTTCAGGGTTTTTTTGAATGTCTGATGCTCTGTCTCTTCCTTATTTAAATTATGGGGAGCAGATGTTATGGCTTCAAGCAAACAAAAGCCTGGCCGTACTGTAGCGCAAGGTTCGGGGCTTTCTTTGTGGCCCAGGCACACGAGCTTCTTTTCTAGCTCCGAAATCAGTTCCAAACGTGGTCCTCCCCCCCACCCCCCCATCTTTCTTTCGCTCTTTGTTGGAGCACCGGTGTCGCTCACAATAGCTCAGGATAAGCCGTGCGCCTTTGCGAGGGCAGCCGGCTGAAAGGTGCCGGAAAATTCTCCCCAGTCCTGTTTATTAATTAAAAATAAAATACTCCTTGTCATTTAAATCGATTTGGCCACATTTAGTATTTTGCTCAAGTCCTGTTCCCCATCTTCCCCCAAATTATTGTAATTTTTAAAAAAAAATTTAAACCAGTTATGGGAAAAAAAACCCAGGTATTTTCTTTCCAAGGTTTAAATACCCGCCTGGAGTGTACGTAGCTGTTTGAAGATGCATCTCATCCAGTGAAGCCTGCTTTGGTTTTTTTGGGAACTCACAGCAGCATTTGGAGCATTTTGAGCCTACGCAGCAGATAGGGTTTGTGCTGGCTGGGTTACGCTCCGGATGGGAGTCAAGCTGTATCAAACGTGGCATAATTCTCTCTTAAAATCCGAATGAAACATCTGTAGTGTTCAAGATGCACATTTTGGGGGCTGAATATTACATTTCAGAGTTTTCCTTCTCCGCTGGCCATACCGTCCCAGGGAGACACTGCTCTGTGACAGCTCCAGGCCCCTCGGGGCAGGGAAAGGCCATTTCTGCCTGTTTTTGAGGAGCGCGCTGCGCAGCGGACTCCGATTCTGTATTTCTGTGGTAGGGAGCGTGTTTGTTGCACCATCGTAACACAAAATACCATTTGTTATTGTTGCCGTTGCTGGCTGCAACCCTGTGTCCTTCCTGTAACGTGCTGCCACTCCGCTGGGTTAATTCAACCTTTTTATTCGCTTATAAAAGTTGGCAAGGACCGCGCTTCCTCTTTGTGGCCGAGGTTGTTGACATTTTTACGGGGCTGAGTCTCGTTCCTGGGCGCTCGGAGCCCCCGTGGCTTTTGGCTTCTGCTTCTTTTCGCTTTCCTCTCGCCCTGAATGTGCGAGAGCGTCGCGGATTTGGAGCCAGCTTTAGATCAGCTGCTGTTAAAGAAATACGCCCCTGCCTTCTCACCTGAGGGTCTGGTTTGTGGACAGTTTGTGGCAGTTTTGGGGTCCCACTTGGTGTATTCTGTACCAAACAGACACGTTTCTCGTGCTCTTCTGCATTGCTTGCTCTGGGAGAAGAAAATCTGGAAAGGAAAGCAAGTGGAAGCAAAGCGCGCATCGCTTGTTTTGGTACCAGTGATCTCGTACCGTTTCATTACAGAACTGCAACTCTTTAATTAATGAGATGTAAATATATTGTAATGGTTGCATTTGCATACTGAGTGAGGCTTCAGCACCTTAGGTTGTGATGTGTTTTAATTAAAGATTAATTAGAAATGATGGGAATTTCATTTTGCTCAGTATAATTATTTTACATATTTGATGAATATCTGGTAGGTGACGTGCCGGGGAATGCACAAGGTTGTGTTAGCGCAGCTGACGGGAGCGACTCTCCAGGCTCTTTGAGCCAGCGTTAGGTTTTTCTTTATAGCCACAAAAGTGATGGATTAGGAAGGATTTAAGTGTGAAGGATTTTACCATTAAGGCAAGGACTTTCTAAATCACATTTAAAACACTGTGCCATAACTGGTTGTGCTGTAACTCCGGTCCCATTGCTCCATCTTTTGAGATTTTGAGCTCTGGAAGGTTGGCAGGTGAATGACTCCAGCTCTTGTACTTGGAAATCGGAGCAGAATGGGTAGTTTGGAGTAAATCTGATGTCATTTACAGTTTGTCCAAATATTATCATTAGGAGAAGATATGAGGAGTGCCCTTGTGGCCAAGAAGGCCAATGGCATCCTGGGGTGTATCAGGAGGGGGGTGGTTGTAGGGCAGAGAGGTTCTCCTGCCCCTCTGCTCTGCCCTGGTGAGACCGCATCTGGAATATTGTGTCCAGTTCTGGGCCCTCAGTTCAAGAAGGACAGGAACTGCTGGAGAGAGTCCAGCGTAGGGCTACAAAGATGATGGAGGGAGTGGAGCATCTCCCTTCTGAGGAGCGGCTGAGGGAGCTGGGGCTCTTTAGTTTGCAGAAGAGGAGACTGAGGGGAGACCTCATTCATGTTTATAAATATTTAAATGGTGAGTGTCACGAGGATGGAGCCAGGCTCTTCTCGGTGACAAACAATGATAGGACAAGGGGTAACGGACACAAACTGGAACACAGGAGGTTCCACTTCAATTGGAGAAGAAACTTCTTCTCAGTGAGGGTGACAGAGCCCTGGCCCAGGCTGCCCAGAGAGGTTGTGGAGTCTCCTTCTCTGCAGACATTCAAAACCCGCCTGGACGCCTTCCTGTGTAACCTCATCTGGGTGTTCCTGCTCCGGCAGGGGGATTGGACTGGATGAGCTTTGGAGGTCCCTTCCAATCTCTGACGTTCTGGGATTCTGTGATTCTGTGAGTAAAAATAAAGTAAAAAGTATCCGTTCCAGGAGATGATGGCTTTAATTTAAAAACAGTATCTGTGGCAATGATTTGTGTTTTAGCTGTCACACATATTTAGATGCAGTTGTGCCAAAAGTTTAAAATCAGCCTTGTTTGAACAGACCGAGCTTCTTGCACTCATCGATTCCCAGGTCTGTTCACCTTTGGAGGAGTTTATTAAATAGAAGTGTGAACTACTAGGTTAGAAATGATATTTAAGTGATAGTGAACTCCTTTCTGGTTTCCTGTGACTTACCAGAGCCACCCAACCAGGGTCTTCCCTTCAGGCTGGGAGGGTGTTTTGTACCTGCTTTTCAGCAGTCAACTTGAGATGAGCTTATGCGTAATTGATGATAACTAATGTCTAATTACCATAATTAGACAAGTGACATAAAATTAAGCTGCAGCTGGGAGCTTGACTTCAACACGAGGTGCTCTGATATGCATCATAATGTGCATAACAAGATGTTTGGCAGAACCTCGTTCAAATAAGGAGGTGGCACCAAAATAATCCCTTCCACCGAAGCACGTTCAAATAAAGAGGTGGCACCAAAATAATCCCTTCCACCGAATTTACGCTTGCCAGCCCAAAGAGTTTAGAGTGAGTTTTGTTAAAAAGACTCGGAGCAAAGGGTCGCTGGTGAGCTCTCTGCTGGAAAAAAGGAGAACTGGTGGAAAAAAACCCCCACTAACAAAGTTTTTAAAAGCCTTTTGCTTCATTTCTTGTAACGTTCCCTCACTAAAGGGTGTATGCAGTACATGGTCTGCTATTTTTTTTTAAATAAGGTATTAATTTTAATTCCATGAGAGAAAAAGCCATGAACTTCTTCATTAGTCAGCAGCTTCCTCTCTCATTGCCTCAGTGTGAGTTTTTTGCCTTACCTTTTTTCTGCTTGCGAAAAAATGGGGGATGTTCTGGAGAAGACCTGGATTGCTATGAGAGAGCAAAGGCCTGCAGCCGCTCCAGAGCTCGCTTTCCATCAGAATCCTGTCATAATTTCTGTGTAGCCTGCAAAACATGAAGTTGAGCAATGTGATTGTCAGTTTAGGCGGCTTATGTGTCCAGAATTATTATCAGGTTGATTTTAAATGAGCTATTCTGCCTATAAAATGCTGGAAATTGTTATAAATGCTTATGTTTAACGTCCCTATACGTTGTTTTCCTGTCCTCGCGCTGGATTCTTTGCATAAAGGGAGATCTTTTGTGTTTCTCTTTGGAAGGGAACGTCGTATCTCGTTAACCTGCCAGTTACAATTTGGAGAAGGTCATCTCGTAGCTTCACAAGGTTAAGACCAACTGTTCATCCAAGTAAAATTGGCCAGCGATTAAAATCAAATTAAAAGCCAAAAAGCTGTTGGCATTTTCAGTATTGTGGCAATATCTTGTGAGTTCTCGCCCTTGTTTTAAAAAAAAAAAAAAGGAAGTTAATGAATTGTTGAAAATTTGGGAAATGAGGTTGTTGAGATAAATTTGCTTGGAATTGAAGAATCTGAGCGTGCAGGCTGCTGCAGTCTGGGTTTGTTGAGTAGAAGTGTAAGGAAATTAGCTGTTTCCTACTGCCGAACGCTGTTGAGGACCATGCAGGCAGCAGGCTGATACGGGTCATCTCTGTAAGAATCTCCTTCTAATTAAAATAATTTCTAATTGTAGTACAAACCAGTACGAGCCTGGGTATTCTTATTAACTACATGCATTTGAAAGCTCACATTTTGGTGTTTCTCAACCCAAGCAATGTTTCTTTTGATGTGTTGCCTCGTGGCTTTATTAAACACTCCCTTTTTTATTCACTTGAGCTCCAGACCTGCTAAAACCTCCGACGGGCGTTGAAATGCTTTGAAGCGGACGCGCTTTCCTGTTTCGGAAATAATCTTGTGCTTCCCTCTTTATATTTGTCTAGTGTTAAGTATTCGCGGTATTCAGGAAGAAGACCCCCCAGATGCTCAGCTAATGAGACTAGATAACATGTTGCTGGCAGAGGGTGTCTCCGGGCCCGAGAAAAGAGGAAGAGGAGGACCGATGGCTGTAGCAGCAACATCAGGTGGCTGTCCAAATGACAATAGCATTGAACACTCTGACTACAGGGCCAAGCTGTCACAGATCCGACAGATTTACCACTCTGAGCTAGAGAAATATGAACAGGTGATCTTTCTGCATGGAAGAGTTTTTATCATCTCAATTAAAAATAACCCCTTTTTTCCTTTGGCGTTGGTTTTGAGAACAGGACAGGGAGTAGGATGAATTCAGGGGAGCGCGAGGATGTCAAATTCAGCTGCAAACTTATCTGAGTGTAACAGAAGGAAGGTGAAGCTAGAGGGAGTGGACATGGAGCTAAAGATATTGAATGTCTCGTTTATCTTTGTTGCCGTTTTCTTAAGAGTAAATAGAGTAAAGCTGAAACGTGGAAACTCCTCTAAAGTCTTTTTTATTTTTTTTTGGCTGTATATTTTTGCTGGGGAAACGAATGCGGGGGTGTTTTCTTGTTTGTCGATACAAATGTGTGTATTTGCAGGCCTGCAGCGAGTTCACCACCCACGTGATGAACCTGCTTAGGGAGCAGAGCAGAACGAGACCCATTTCGCCAAAGGAAATCGAGCGCATGGTGAACATAATCCACGGCAAATTCAGCACCATCCAGATGCAGCTGAAGCAGAGCACGTGCGAGGCGGTCATGATCCTGCGCTCCCGCTTTCTGGATGCGAGGTACGAGGAAACAAAACAAAACCCAAAAAAACATAACGGATATTGAAGCCTGAACTTGTTTTGTTGCTCGATGCCAGCGGTTGTGTAAGAAATTTAGCCTGGGGAAGAGAAGGCTGAGGGGAGACCTCATCACCACCTACAGCTGCCTCAAGGGAGGTTGTAGAGAGGTGGGTGCTGGTCTCTTCTCCCAGGTGATGGGGGATAGAACAAGGGGAAACGGCACCAAGCTGTGCCAAGGGAGGTTCAGGTTAGAGAGAAGGAGGAAGTTCTTTCCTGAGAGGGTCGTCAGAAGCTGGACCAGGCTGCCCAGGGAGGTGGTGGAGTCACCATCCCTGGATGTGTTTAAAGAGCGGGTAGATGAGGTACTTAAGGATATGGTTTAGGGGGTAGACAGGAACGGTTGGAAATGATGATCTCAGAGGGCTTTTCCAACCGAGCCATTCTGTGATTCTGTGATTCTGTGAAATCTCAAGTCTTGTCGATCCCAGCGTCCATCTATTTGAAATATTAAGAATTTGCCACCTGTTCTGCCCGCTTCAACATCAACATCGATTTAATTCCACTCAATTCTTACATTTTCCTTCAAACCAAATGTATTCTAGAGATTTTTTTGGCCAAGAAGGCCAACGCCATCCTGGGGTGTCTGAGAAGGGGTGGTTGTAGGGCAGAGAGGTTCTCCTTCCCCTCTACTCTGCCCTGGTGAGACTGCATTTGGAATATTGTGTTTAATTCTGGGCCCTTCAGGTCAAGAAAAACAGGAACTGCTTGAAAGAGTCCAGCAGGGCCACAGAGATGCTGGAGGGAGTGGAGCATCTCCTGCTGAGGAGCGGCTGAGGGAGCTGGGGCTCTTGAGCTTGGAGCAGAGGAGCCTGAGGGGTGCCCTCATTCCTGGGGATCCATTGGGAAAGGGCAGTGTCAGGAGGAAGGAGCCAGGCTCTGCTCTGGGATGTCCAATGCCAGGACACGGGGCAATGGTCCCAAGCTGGAACACAGGAGGTTCAAGCTGAAGATGAGGACAAACTTTTGTCAGTGTGAGGGTGCCAGAGCATGGCCCAGGCTGCCCAGAGAGGGTGTGGAGTCTCCTCTGCAGACATTCAAAACCAACCTGGACGCATTCCTGTGTGACCTGGTCTGGGTGATCCTGCTCTGGCAGGGGGGTTGGACTGGATGAGCTTTCAAGGTCCCTTCCAACTCCTGAGATTCTGTGATTCTGTGATTTAGAGGAGAAAAAAGCCAACTGTCTACTCTGTAAAGCCGTTTAAATAGAAGTAACTGATGTTTTCACAGGCGTAAACGACGTAACTTCAGCAAACAGGCAACGGAAGTACTGAATGAGTATTTTTATTCGCATCTGAGTAATCCTTACCCCAGCGAAGAGGCCAAAGAAGAGCTCGCAAAGAAAGGTGGCATCACAGTTTCACAGGTATGAGAGGTTTTATCTGGAATTAGTGACTATTTTTTTTCCCTTAAACAATGTTCTTTTTTTTCCCCCTAGTTATTAATTAACTAATTTAAATAGGATTTAGGTTATTCTGAGGGGTTTAGCAGTAGTTCTTTTCTGCTTGAAGCCTAGTTTTAAAACATCTCCTTCGCCAGTAACTTCTGAATATAGTGGAAAATGTAATCATTTGATCAAATGCTAACAGAGTTTTATGGCTCCAGGTTTCCAACTGGTTTGGTAACAAAAGAATCCGATACAAAAAAAACATGGGGAAGTTTCAAGAAGAAGCCAATATTTACGCCGCAAAAACAGCAGTGGATGCAACCAACGTCGTGGCTCAAGGCAACCAGGCAAATTCTCCGTCTACACCAAATTCAGGTGAGCGAGGGGGCCAGCAAAGAGCCTGACAGTTTTTTTTTCTTTTAAAAGTCATGTAATATTTGCTGAAGAACCATCTTGGGTGGGTTTTATTTCTCATTAAAACATACTGTTATTTTTTTCCAGCTTCCTCTGGCTCTTTTAAGATGACAAATTCCGGAGATTCCTTTATAAACTTGCAGTCATTGACTTCCTACCAGAGCTCCCCAGTGGGAGCCAATGTGCAGTCGCAGGTAAGGAAAAAAAATACATTCTTTTCAGCAGTGAAATAAATGGTAAAATCCCATTTCTCCCTCATTTTGGTATGAACAGGTTGCTCAGGGAGGTTAATTCTCTTAATAACAAATAGAGATGGATTTTTCTGTCTTAGCCAGAAGGCTAGGATGCAAGAAATGACCAATTTCTCCAGTTGGTCAAGAAACAAATGTACTTCAAATGTGTGTTTCCTCTTGAAACTGGAATTTTCTGCTGCAGAATTAACTGATACCTAAATGAACCTTCTGCTATTCTTCTAGCCCTTTAAATTTACATCAATAAATCAGTGTTTTCTCCTTTTAGAGTCAGTCTTTTCCCATATAAGTAGAACTTCGCTTAGGATTCCTGGTTAACAGTATTGTCCAACTCATCTTAAGCTTTCTGCTGAATTTCTAAATCCATCTGAACTGCATAAAATCGTTTCCTCTGTTATAAAAGCCTCTAATTCTGCTTGATAATTAACTAGCTTGATCTAGCTCAGTTAACAGGAAGAATTGTGAAGAAAACTTGTCTTCCTGCAAGAAAAACCTGCCCTTTATTTCAAGAATTTTTGGCCCAATAAATGTGTACCACGTACTACTGCATTTCTTTAACTTTTAATCCTCCTTTTCCTCTAGATGGATTCCTTACATCATGTCATACACCAGACAGGAAGATATGACACAATTGTGGGGAATCCTTTGTATACGACGCAGCGCATAGATGTAAGATGGACCGAGATATTTACTTGCTAGAAACACAAGTTCTGCCTGAGATTGGTTGATGATCTGTGAATAAATTTTTAAATTCCTTTTATCTTTGATGGAAAAAGCTGGAAAAGATGTAGTTTAATACACCAGCCTTTCCCTCCTGGAGACTTGGATTTAAAATTTTGGCTTTGCTCACCAGATAGTTTGTGCATTTCAGTTTGCATTAAGGATAGCACTGGGAATAAGGGCAACACCACAAAATCTGTGGGGAAAGGGCTTTTATGGGGTATTTGAAGACTGTGCTTTGCCAGAACTGATACGTAGTTATTTCCTTTCAAAAGCACTTGTAAAGAGTAAATATATAAAGGCACACTCGGTTGTCTGCGAGTAGTTTCTTAAAGATTTAATTTAACAATCTATTTATTCTCCCTTCAGGCTAATGGCAGCTGGCAGGATGCTACCACCCCTTCATCAATCACCTCACCTGCTGGAGACCCTGGAAGTGTTAATTCGGATGCGTCTAATTAAGTTTTTAGGACCTATTGATGAGAGGAAAGAGGTCATTAGTGTAATTTGTCAATGTTGCTCTTTTGCCAATACTATTGTTTATACAACTTGACACACAGCTAATTACCTCAGAAAAACCCCTGGAACCAATAGAAGATTGTGATTACAATGATACCTCTCTACCTCTCAGCCTCACGCAGTTGAGTTCTTTTGACTTATGCCCATTGGGATGTGAAATTGTTTTCAAAGAACTTGCTTCATTTTTCCTAACCAAATTCGTTTTTTTAAAAAAAAAAATATGGATTTTATGGTGAGAATCGGAAAGTGTCTCTTCTAGAACTTGGCGTTTGTCTCAAGTTTTACAGCTTAAGAAAATTGACTTATTTTAATTTCCATGAAGTTTTTTACTATGAAATTTCTGTTCTAGTTGATAGCTACTAACAGTTAAACCCCCTGTATTGTAATTGTATGCGTTCTCTGTATTGTAATTTTGTATAGGAAAATAAGCTTTTCTTAACTAGAATTCATTCTGAGCTGATTAATCAGAACGTTGCTTTACCAAAACTCTCACTGGACTTTGCTCGCGGGTAGGACCTTCCATCCTGTGTCATTCCACGTAATTCTAATTTAATGTCTAGTGAAACAGAGAAAAAAAAAAATAATCAAAACAACAAACCCACAACAAAACCCACCTGCCTTCCCCATGGATAATAGGTTTTCGTGCATTTCTGCAGCTGTTACCACAGAGTCCACCCCTTTCAGTTGAGATTTTATCAAAGATAATAAACTTCCAAAGCCTTTTTTTTTTCCTTTTTTTTTTTTCCTCTCTTCTTCCTTCATGTTTTTACCTCAGTTTCCCTCACCTGGCCTCCCTGAGGGGAGGGCGGCAAAGGGCGGGAAGCGGGAGGTGGCTCCTGCGCATGCGCCTCCCTGAGGGAAGGGCGGGAAGCGGGCGGTGCCTTCCCGTCATGCCCCGCGCTCAACGGCCGCCAGTGGCGCGCAATGGCAGAA